CAAAACATCGATGTCTAGAAGTCTACATCGCTGTTGGGGTGTTTGACTTTCAAAAATGGAAAGATTTTGTCTTAAATAGCCCAACGGTCATTTGAAAACATCGCTGTTCAACCATGAACATCGCTGTTCAAAAACTTACTGCCCAGGGCTTCTGAAGGCCAACATCGCTGTTGGGATTTCCGACATGCATGTCGGGATGGTTTGCCAGAACCATGGTTTGGCAGCCAACGCCGAAAACCGATGTCAAAAACCAAAGTTCTCCAAAATGAAAACCAAGTGTTGGAAATTCTTATATAATGTATTTTAGGTAGAAACCAAGTATAAAAACGTAAAAACCACTTCATTAATGTAAAAACCACGGCTAGCCAAGTTTATGTCGTTCTACATGGTTTTCACCAAAAGACCAAAAACGAAAGGTGGTTTTTAACATGTTTTTGTTGGAGAACTATTTGGATATGCCCAGAAGTAAAAACCAATCATAAAATCTTAAAAACCACTTGATTGATTTGGGCACCAAAAACCAACATCGATAACCGGCACCGAATGCCGATAACCAACGCCGAAAAACAAAGGTTATGGTTTTTGAAAACTAATCATTTGGAAAAACTTTAAATGTTTCCAGAAGCATAAACCAAAGATAAAAACCCAAAAACCATTTGGTTAAAATCAATGCCAATAACCAATGCCGAAAACTGAACGCCATAGCCGAATGCCGATAACCGATGGTTATGGTTTTGGTTAAGCAAGAACCATAGGTATTAGAAACTTAAAAACCATTTATGAAAACACTCATTTGATGCATGAAAAACATATTTTGTTTTGAGCCATGACGTTGAGAAATTGAATGAGCTTGTTACAATAAAGACCTAAGTATTTAGAATACGTCTTTCAAAGCGCCAATGTCGCCATCTTTAGCAACGTTAATGCCGTTCTGGTGCTTTTTGTTTCTTCAAAGAACTTTTTCTATCTTTTCATTTTGTTCCATGTTCCCGACGGTTTGTCAATATCAAAACCTAAACGGAAACAAACATTGTCATTAGCAAAATGTCAAAGTGAAAATGTTTTCCAACAATTTCCCCCTTTTTGATAATGACAAACCAAGGAGGGGATATGCAGGACAAGTTGGGTTTTCAAAGAGAGAGTAATGGTAATTCCCCCTACGTCTTTGAAAACAAGATTCCCCCTCACTTGTTGCATATACCCAAACACTTCCCCCTTTTGGCATTAGCAAAAAGCACTAAGTAAAGTTTAAAAAAAAGTACTCCCTGAGCATTGATGTTTGATACAAAACATCATTGTTGTATGTTTCCCCTGAAACTGATACCATGTTTTTAGAAAAACAACTCCCCCCAAACTCCCCTTGATGCAGATTATTAGGTTTCGTGCTTGGAGCATCCACTACAAAAATGTAGTCTTCAAACACACCTACATATGCATCTAATAATTTTTAGGTACCCAAAAACTTTTGGGTCCTTGAGGGTTAGGAAAATAATAATCATAGCTATAAAACAAATCCCTATGTTTGGTAAAACAAACGGGTGCTATGTGTCCTATCTTAGAGCAATAATGGCAAGTTACATTTGGGTTATGCATATGCCTAGGTTGAGCCGAAAAATTTCTAGGTGATCTAAAGTCATTATTCCTAGAATTATTAATTAAGTTCCTAGA